AGGGGACCAGTGTGGCCGGAACCGGTGAGAGAAGGAGAAGAGAGACAGGATGGCTGGGGGAGGTCTCCAGGAGGAAGAAGGGAGCCCCTCCCACCAGTCCAGGGGGCTCCAAAAGGCAGGAGAGAAAGCCCAGGCCCCGTCCCTGGCCCTCCTGCCACTCGCCTCGTAACAGCAGCCGTGCCCTGGGGGCCAGGCCTGGGTCCATCTGACCACGCATGCCCCTGGGCTCAGGACGGAAGGTACTCTCTGTGCCTTTACTCAGAGCACAGAATATGCCTACTTTCGGGGTCCAAAACCCAGAGCCGCCCTGCCCCCCTTATACATCACAGCACATTCTGTGGCTCAAGAATGAGGCAGAAACCAGCTTAGTTTATTGAAGACGCTCCCTGACTCATGAGAAACGCTGCACCAAATGGTACAAGAAGTTTAAGAAAATCTCTCAGATTCTGGGCCCCGGGCCTCTAGATCTGTGCTGCAAACCCCTTTTCTCCCACCTCCTGAGAAGGCCTCTGGGCTGTGGGCTCAGGACGCCACCCATCCTTAAGGACAGACACCGATGTCCCAGGAGACAGCAGTGCAGGTGCCCCGTGTCCTGTCCTGTCCTGGTGTCCATCGCTTTGGCATGCCCTTATCACAGCCTGCAACTTCTAACAGCGCTAAAAAAAAGAAGTGAAAAGGGATGTTGTGCAGCGCGACGTGCTGACAGTTAACCTGTGCAGGTGAGCGGCCAGGCCCACGCTGCCCGGGGCCACGCTTCTCCCGAGAAGCCCAGCTGCCCGGCCCAGAGCTTATCGGGCTGCACCAGCGGGCGGTCCTGCGACCCAATGGAGTCAGAGCCTCCCTGGCATTGGGGCCTTCGGACAGAATGACAGCTGTGGCGCTGGTCCTGGAGTCCACGTGTCCCCAGGTCAGAAGCAGAGGGAGTGCTCACTACTCTACATAAAGAACCAGATGAGCTGTCCAGAAGAACTTGTGACTCAACATGTTTGAAATTATTTCTTTAGCTAATAGTTTATTTTTATATTTGCAACAGACATAGCAATAACAACTTTGCAGCCATCGGATGTAAGCCCAGGAGGCCATCTTTCCAGTGCGTCCCTGAGGTTTACATGCCGACACTATCTGCTTTTATTAACAGAGACAGAGCCCCTAGTTTGCCCACGAGGTGAGGGGCAGGCTGGTCTGGATGGCATGGGGGCTGAGACACCTTCTTAGGGGAGAAACTGCCCAGATTTTGACAAAGGGCCTGGCGCCTCTTTAGATTGTCTGGTCCAAACGCAGGCGCTGCCATCTGCACCCCATGGTCCCCTCGTCTTTCCAGGCCAGGACCACAGTCCCCACCTCCCCTGCGGTTACGGACCATGAAGGGCAGGCAGGGAGGGCCAGCTGTTCATGCGGAGGTCCTGCAGTGCCCTGTCCGAAGGTAGCACGTCACCCACACAGCACGCCCTGCCCCACAGCGTCCCGTCCTGCAGCACTCTGTCCCACGGGCGCCATTTGCCAAGACCCGTGAGCAGCTTGAGAACACTCGGTGACGCTGGGCCAAGTCTCTCTGAGGGAAATGCTTTCCCAGTGAAAACTATGCCCTTTTCTGAGAGGGGGTTCGGACAGGTGCTCTGCCGAGTCGGGGAGCGGATGACACGCAGCCAGGATTAGCCGCCCAGACTGTTGCAGTGTCGCCAGGCCCCACGCCCCTTCAGATGAAGGCCTCGCTCTAAGTCTAAGTAACGGGAACTCTGAGCACGCCAGCTGTGGGCCTTGCCTCTTCTTCCTGAAATGGGCTAGTCGCTGGGGCAGCCTTCTCTGCAAGGTCATCGGGGTCAGAGCAGGAAGGCCTGTCAAACAGCAGAACAGGGCTCACACGCAGCAAACGCATCGTGCCGTCTACGGCGGCGTTCTCGTGTCTGCTCCGGGACGAGGAGTGGGGTGAGAGGGAAATGACAGCGGAGGAGAAAGTGCCTCATGAGGGTCACTCAGTGGGCAGTGTCACTCCTGCAGGGGATACAGGGGCGCTTAGTGCAGAAGACGCAATGGCAACTACCCCCACACACACACACACAGCGGGCCTGGCGCGTGTGCATCCTGCACGTGGAAGGGACTTGGCCTGGCCCACGGGGCCCTGGGTGAGCCGGCCGGGCCCCGCAGCCCACCCTTACTCTCCAGCCCCTGCCTCTCAGCCCTCCTTTCAGTTCCCCCAACACAGTCCACTCCCTCCTGCCCCAGGGCCTTTGCACATGCCGTGCAGGGCCTGGAGGACTCCCCACTCACTGTGCAAGCCTCACCTGTTGGTGCCTATTGATCCTAGACCTCTCGGCTCAGACAGCGTCTCCGCAGGAGTGGTCCTGATCTCCCACCCTATTTGTATATCCCGTCTACCTTCACGGCACAGCCCTCAGCTACACAGAAATGACTGACTGTGTGAATTCCTGTCCAGGCTCTAAGCCCCCCGTGAAGACACCTGCCTGCCTGGCTCCCCTGAGGAGCTCGGCACCTGGAGCATTGCTCGCACGGAGCTCGGGTCTGCGGGATGAAGGAACAGAGCAACCGCTAACGCCCAGGTGTCGCTCGGGGGGTGGTCTGGTCTTTTTAAGAGGCACGGGACATGGCTAACACATTTCAGCAATAAATACCTAGTTAGCTTCATTTTTAGGGTTACAGGAATAAGTGTACCCAAGAGGCTTAAACCGAACTGTCACCCAGCAGGAGCAGAGTGAAGAGCAGTGACGCTGCACCTCGGCAAAGTTGTAACCTGGAGTCAGTGAGGAGTGGGGTGCTTATTCAGGAAGCTGACCACTGCATAGCCACGTGGTGAAGCCCAACGTCAGAGAGTCCGTGAATGCCACGCGTCGGCTCGCTGCACCCCGGAATACGTGGACCGTGCTCGCTGACCGGGCGGGGCTCGGCTACGGGACCGCGCGTCCTCACCCATGCTTTCTCCTGAAGACAGGGACCTGGAGCAGGGCACACCCCCGACCTGCACCAGGGGGCTGGGGGCAACTGTCACCAGGCCACCCCGCGCTCCTGCTCGCGGGGCGAAGGGCAGCACCACGACGCCTGGGCTGGAGAGATGGAAGGCTGTCCCCGGCTGCCCCCCTCCCCTCGCGCGCTCTGGCTTTGGGGTGAGGAGCATAGAGAGGAAGACCTCCCATGGGGCCACACCAGGAACCCTGGCAAGGCCTGGCAATGCAGTGAGGATGCCAGCGTCCCTGGAGTCACTGGGCCTGGGTGCTGCTCCCGGCCGGCTGACCAGCCTTGACCCGCCCTGTCAACAGCTCCGTAAAATGGAACAAAAGGGACGTTGCGTAACCAGAGCCAGATTCACAAGGAAGCAGAGCTGCACGTGGCCTGGTGGTGGGGTGCACACTGCACGGCCGGGCTGTGCACTCGGGGAGACCAGCTGAAACCCCTCTGCACGATTTTAGTTCCCCCAGGCAGATGCAGAGAAAACAGATGAAAAACCTTTTTCAAAGGCAGCAACCAGCCACGCTCAGTTGACAAACCTGAAGGCATTCGTTCATTCGTTCATTCACTCACTCACTCACTCACTCACTCACTCACTCACTCACCGCCCGGCAGGTGGGGTGCAGGTCATGTGCACACACCGTGGAATCCTAACACCTGGGACTGAAGCCGTCTCCACCACTGTCCATGAGGTGTGAGCCTGGGAATTCACTCCACCTCCCTGTGACTCAGTTTCCTCATCTGGGCAGTGGGGTGTTACAGGATTAGATACGGAAACACGGAAACGGGGCTAAGAGCAGCACCTGGCCGGTAATTAGTGCTAAACAAATATCAGCTATGAATTCAATCATTGTATCTGGGTGCCAGGCAGGGATGGGCCTGAACTGCCGTTTTCCCACCAGCCTCCCTGACGCAGTAACCAGCGAGACCACAGCACCACCATCCTGCAGCCAGAGAGTGAAGACAGAGAAGGAAAGTGCTTCTCCGGTCGGACGCCCGCGAGACCTTTCCCTCCAGATGGGAACCCAGGAGCAAGCTCACGACCAGAACTGTTTTCTTAGCGCTCAGCAGCGTGAGCGTGATCACCGTGAACTGCCAGAAAAACACATCCGGCTGAAGTTAGGAATCGAAAATAACATCGTTTTGCCCCCACGCTCAGCTGGAAGCAAGGTTTGCTCCGACTGAGATTGTATCTGTGCCTATTTGTTACCCAAGCCTCCGAATTCTGAGCTGTGTCGGCTGCTCTGAACCATACGGAATGAGGGGGCTGATGAGGGCAGACAGGCAGGGAGAAAGAGGCGTCCCCCCAGCCTTCGCAATCAAGTCTGATGTCCCCAGAGAGGCTGGCGGGTATTGGCCCCCAGGACGCAGCCGGCGCTCAAGGGAACTTTTACTGCCCTTGTGCTGCAGAGCACGCTGTGAGCAAACAGAGCAGGGGCGGCGAGACAGACCCAGGGCCAAGTGCACGCGGCGCCCGCGGCTGCTGCCGAGCCCTCGGGGCTGGAACTCACCGCGTTGGGCGGGGGCCGTGGCCGGGCGGATCCTTCCAGACGCTGATCCCTCCGGCTGCCTTGCTGCTTCCCTGCCTTCCGTCCGGCACCCGCTCCCTGTCACTGGCCTGACGTGGCCATAGGAGCCGTCCAGCAGGTGGGTCAGCCCGCCCTGAGCGGGGAGGTCCCCAGGAGGTGGCACGCCCGGCCCACAGTGCAGCACGCATGCCTGGGCGTAGGGCAGGAGCCCGGGGACCAGGAAGGGCTGCCCAGAGCAGGGGCCAAGCCCCGCCTCCCCGGGGCACAGCGGCGGTCTCCTGTCCCCACAAAGCCCCACAGGCGAGAAAACTGCTGTGGGTTCCTGGGGGCAGGTGCTCTGCCTGTACCCCAGGCCTGACAGGTACCTGGGGCCCGTCTGCCTGCTTTCCTCCTCAGTCCTTTGTAGTTAACATAAAACCAGGAAACAAACACAAAAACAAGGTCCGCAGAGGAGCTGGACCAGGGAGAAAGGGGAGGACCCGGGCGGGGGAGTCAGACCAGGGTTCACTCCTGAAACCACGTGCTGCCCGGGCTCCCAGATTCCTGGAGACAAAAAGGAGTCAGCGGCTGGACATGCATCAGGTCCTGGGGACAACGGTGGCTTCACAGGTGCCCTGACCTGTGTGAAGCTGATGTAATTCGGTCACTTGACACCAGAGGTCAAGCTAAGAGGAAAAGTGCAGCAGCCAGGAGTGGCCACAGCCAGAGCCCTGTCCCCACTAGACCCCAAAGCAGCAAAGGGGGCCCGGGCTGAGGGCAGCTGGGTGCTGTGCCTTAGGGGTCTCGGCTCCTGACGGATGGCAGGGGCTTCCTGTGGGGGACGTGGGGACAAGGGTCACTTCAGCAGCCTGGGAGCCCGAACAGGACTCTCAGCCGTTCTGAGCATCAGTCTTCACGTCTGTGCGGCGGGTGGATAACGGCAGCCGCAGAGTCGCGAGGGCAGGAGGGACTAGGGACTCCTCGTCCCAGGGCTCAGGGCCTGCACCTGTTACTGTCACCACCCCAGCAGGAGAAAGGGGGCTCCCGCCAGCTCTCGCATTTTATAAGCGCAGTCTGGCCGAGTGCAGACCAGCTGCCTGACCCTGAGTGGGTCTGCCGGCCAGTCCGGGGCCTTGGCCAGGTGTGAGGACATCCCTCCCAGAGCAAGCCACCACCGTCCTGCTGGCTGTGAGACAGAGGCTGGGGGGACGGCATCTGTGGGAATCGGCAAATGCTGGACCTCCGTTAAACGCTGACCACACGCCTGCCCGTGTGTGTGTGGCCTCCAGGACCTTCATTCCCCACGGGTACCATGGGGAGGTGACTGCACATGACCCAGTGGGCAGAGATAAGGCACACAGAGCGCGGCACGCGGCACTTCCTCACAGAGCCCGTCCTGCGCTTACTGCTGAGGCCGTCGGCAGAGGCA